GCTGTTGAAACTGATCAGTGGCTGATTCCAGGAAGCTGGGGGCAGAGCAATTCTGCCTCCAGCTTCCTGTAGTCAGCCCCTGGTCAGTTTCAGCAGCAGCGGCTGAATCTGGAGCCAGTTCTGACTTACATACAAATTCAACTTAAGAACAAACCTATAGTCCCTATCTTGTACGTAACCCGGGGACTGCCTTCACTGTCTTCATTATGACTGTCTTTTGAAGGCACAAGTGTTGGAAGGATTAGGGCCTTAGGCTGGGGCTACAGGAACAAAGGCATTGCCACATTGGACCAGAACAGTAGTTCATCCAGACCATTAAGCGATCTCCAACATTTTCCAACACAAACTGTCTATTTTTTAGCATTTACTTTTATAACTGTTGGTATTCTTATCTTATCTATATAGTTTTTAAAAACGTCTTTAAATCTTGTTAAATTCTACCTACAAAGACGACCCAGGGCAATGAGTTCCACAGTATAATTACCCATTAGGACAAGTAGTAATGGGCTTAAATTGTAGTGAGGTTTGGGTTGGACATTAAGAAAAACTTCCTGTCAGGGTGGTTAACCACTAGAATAAATTGCTTAGGGAGGTGGTGGAATTTCCATCATTGGATAGGTTTCAGAGAAGTTTAGGAAAACACCTCTTAGGGATGGTCTAGATCAGGGGTGGGCAATAATTTTTAACCGGGGGCCACTTCAAAAAATTTTACAGTGGCTCCAGCATGCCCTGGAAGGGGAGGGGCCTCAGGAGGACGGGGCAGGACTAGAACACTTCCATGCTTCTCTACCCACAGACCCTGATTGGTCTGGGGGTGGGAGAGTGCGCCAAGTCTTTGTCCCTCCAAAAGAGAACCACCAGCTGTTCTTGGCAGTTCCCTCTAGATACCCATGTCCCTGGTGGTGGGAGGAGACTTCTCATGCTCCCCCCTGCTGCTCCCAGGTCAATCTGGGCCTGGGGAGGGGGAGCACATGAAGTCTCTCACTCCCTGCCTCTGCCCTGCAAGGGAGTGCCGTGCTTAGAATCAACTGCCGGCTGAGCAGCAGCTGGCGGTTGACTTTAAGGCTATGTCTAGACTACGTCTAGACTACAAGATTTTTTCGAAAAAAGTTGCCTTTTTTTAAAAAAAAACTTCACCTGAGGTGAAGTCAAATTGAAAGAATGCAGCAGTTTTTTCAACAGCAGTAAACCTAATTTTATGAGGAAGAACGCCTTTTTTCGAAAGAGCTCTTTTGAAAAAAGGCGTTCTTGACTGCAAACAAGGCTTTTTTGAAAGAGAGCATCCAGAGTGCCTGGGTGCTCTCTTTGGAAAAAGCAGATAATTTTTTCAAAAAAGTTGTGGCTGTCTGGACGATCTCTTTCAAAAGAAGCGTGTAGTCTAGATGTACCCTAAGTGCTGAGCCCCTTGCAGGCCGGGAAGAGACTTCATGCGCTCCAGCTACCCCTAAGCACTGACTGGCCTGGGGATGGGAAAAGCACACGAAGTCTCCTCCCATCCTGCCAGCAGCAGAGCACCATGCACTCCTTGCAGGGCAGGAGGAGACTTCACACACTTCAACTTGGCTGGATCTGGCCTGACAAGTCAGTTCATCCAGCCCGCGGAGGCCCTTTTGTCCACTCCTGGTCTAGACAGTGCTAGGTCCTGATATGAGTGCAGAGGGCTGGACTAGATTACCTCTTGAGTTACCTTCCAGTCCTATGATTGTATGATTTCATGAAACTTGACATTTTTTAATTTCATTAAATGCCCCTTCTGTGCTTATTATGAAATAAAGGAGAACATAAGTTTTTGATCTACTTCCCTATACTATTTTAAATACTTTTATGATGTCAGTTCTTAATTGTCTCTTAAAATTTTCTCTCATGAGATTTTTTCCCACGTTCTGAATATATACCACCAAATTTGCAAAATCCTTTTTGGAAATGAGGTGACCAGTAAGTAACACAGTTTCTAGATTAAGGATAAATCATTGATTGATGGAATTGTAACACAGGTCGTATCTCGAAAACCCAGCATTCTCTGGTCTGGCAACGTCTGTTGCCAGCAGGACCATGGATGCTCCTGGACCAGAGAGCCTGGAAGCTTAAGGGCAGGAGAGTCAGCAGGGGCCAGGGCAACAATGTCAGCAGCCCGGCTGGGGGCAGTGCAAGACTGGGTATGGAACCCTGTGGCAGCCTCCATCTGCCCATGGCAGCGCGGGGACAGGATGGAGTCCCCCAGCAGCTTGGGGATGAGGCCAGAGCTCCATGGCAACGTGGGGCTGGAGTCTCCTAGCATATGACAGGAACACTGGGTCGGAGCACCATGGCAGCCCACGGGAGCGTGGGCCTGGAGTCAGAGATCCTTGGTAGAGGGACTGGAGTCCCCTGGCAGCTTCCTGGTCACAGGGCCAGGGCCCCGCAGCAGGAGCCAAAGCCTGCACTACCCCAGGGAGCTGGCAACAGCTGGGGTGGGGGAGGGCGTGGCAGGGTGTCTGTTGGGACAGCCTGCCAGCAGCAGGCGATGGGAGTTGGGGGCCGGTGGCAGAAGATCTCCCCTGGTTGGGCAAATTCTCTCATTCATGACCGGTCAGGTCCCAATGATGCCAGATCAGGGTTGTATTTCCAACTTGTATTTCCTATTATTAGTGCCCAACCAGCTCTTAAAATGTTGTTTGCTTTTTTAAGAGCAGCTTATCATAGAGGTAAGGTCTTCATTGAGGAATCCACAATGATGGCCTGGCCTTTTCCCCCCCAAGGTGCTGCAGTTAGCTTACAGCTAGAAATATATAATGCACGTTTCCTCACAGCCATCTCTGGATTTGGGTGTGTCCTAAATAATTTTGTGTCATCTGCAAAATTTGCAACCTCATGGGCTAACCCATTTTCCAGACATTTGATCAGTATATTAATTTCAATATTCGTATCTTCTGCCATGGTGAAAACTGAACTTTTATTTCTACATTGTTGTTTTGCACGTTAGCTTCAAGTGAGTACAATACAATGTCATTACAATATATAGAACTAAAGCTTTCAGAACATATGTAAATGTGAACACATACCATTGTCAGATGCAAGGAAAGTAGCATTATACATGTTGTTTTCCACATACTGTGATTCTCTGTCCAATACTGCAATTGTAGTTATCTGTCCACTAATTGGGTCAATTTTTAGCCAGTTTGCAGGATCTGAAAGCTTTGAATACCTGCATAGTTGATTATAAAAAATTGTATTGATCTGCCAAAAAGCTTTTAAAAATGAAAGATAACAAATATATTTTAACGACACATATATCTGGTACTATTACTGTGTTTTCCAAGTTTGTTTAGCTTTGAATTCTTGAGTTTTTTGGATATACATATACTGTTTTAATAAAGCTTTTAAAAGCCCTGCCAAGTAAGCAAGTGAATACATAACTCTCTTTTACATAAGATATATATAACGGTCTGAAAAGTGAATGTACACTTCATAAATGAGTAAAATGCGCAGTTTTCTTAAGCTACGTATGACTTATTCACCATAAAAACAAAGATTTCACATTCAACCATGATTAAAGTATTTTAATAGGAACTCCTACTTGATTTACAGCATAAGACCCATTTATGTGGCCTTCTCAAGTCTGTTAACTATGTGTGCATGCATGTGCAAAAAGAGGGAGGAGATAGTAGACATATTCTAATTTGACAGCCCTAGTTGGTGACAATACTTGTGAGTGACAATATCTTGATGGAAAGATACTTGTGTTGACCTAGCTCTGTCTCAAGGTTGGCTTAACTACATCCACTTAGAGATGCAGAATTTTTACAACCTGAGCAACTTAGTTCAGTCAATATAATTTTCTCTGTAGACCATCCCTAAATAAAGAAAAAGTAAAATTATATGAAGCCTCATTTTATACGGCAAGTACAAAGGAAAGATTTTTTGCCTGCATGAATTCCACAGTTGATTGGGACAGGATCATGAATCTTCATCTGATGCAGGGTAGCCTTAAAATGGAGCCCCAGTGGTCACAGCCTATGATCCCAATTAAAAAGATCTGTCAGCATGAGCATAAATTTAAGCCCCACTCAATTCATGGGGACTGCCTGTATGCTTAAAATTCTGTATGTGTTTAGGTGCCTTGCTGAATTCAAGCCCTATGAGCAGAAGATAATGCCATGATTTGCCATACCTGCAAATCTGAACTGGATGCAGATTTATTTGCCACACCACTTTCAGAGCCCACCCGTAATTCCAATTCTACATTACAGTAGTACACAGAGATGTAAGACATGGGCTCATTACTTCATGCCCAACCCCTAAGAAATACAGCATTTCTGCTGTGTTTCAAGTATCTAGAACCCTGTGTAGAGGGCTGTGGGATTAGGCCCAGTTTCAAGATTACCAGCCTGGGATAAAACAGGGATGTTCTTTACACCGTACCTTAAAGCAGTTTGCTGCATGAAACGATCTGGGTCTTGAGCGGTGAAAGTAGTTAACACGTTACCGGCAAGAAGGCCTTCCTCTTGCCGGATAAGCTTAGGGTTTGGAACAAAATATGGACTCTCATTCACATCAATGATAGTAATGGACACAGTTGCTGTTGACTGAGGAGGATGCTGAATTCCTTTGGCCAAAGGCACTTGATTTTCCGCAGCTACAGTAAGCACAAACATCCGATTGGTCTCAAAGTCAATTGGCTGGCAAAAACAAAAGGGGAAGAGATATTAGCCGTTGTTCATATTAGTGACTAGCATGCAAATAAAAATACTTTAAAAGTTATATTTGTATAGTGCTTATATTGAGCTAGATGGTCACAAGACCTAAGCAAAAGAAAACCACTTACTGAAATGCTAGTATGTATAAAAAATACAGAATTCTGCAGCTCTTAAGGACAATTTCTGCATAAGCTCTACTAGTGCTAAGGGCAGCTAGTAACATCCACAGGCAAAGAGATTCAGGGGGCAATGAAAGCATATCTGACCCATGCTTAGTGGATTTAGCTACTCCTGGTGCCCCCAGGGGCATGTTCCTTTTTCCACTGTGACTGATTAAGAATTTCCTTCCGACTTCTGCCCCCTCAAGCATCCTTAAGACAACTTAGACCGAATCAGAGCTTAGAGATTCTCTGGGGAGGATTTCTTCAGAATGGCATTTATTTATCTAGATTTATTCTGCCCTCCCCCCCCCTCCATTCTGTCAGTTTTTAAAAAAGAATTTAATACGAAGTATTTCAAGCAGATTATGCCCTTGGGGATTTAATGTGATTCTCTTTATACTGGTTTGATTTGAATATCATTTTGTTTGCTCTTTCAGAGGTTTCACATATCTAACTGTCAGTAGATCTGAAATGGACTTATATGTGTCTAAATACAAGACACACAAGCAGCCAAGTGTGTCTTGTTAGCACAAACATAACTGGCATCTTCGAGAAATGCCAATTGCATAGTATGGGGGGAAATAACCTAGCATGATATGGAGCCAAGATTGAAGTATAAAGCCACAGATTTCCCCCCCCTAAGGTACTGAAAGGATAAATTAATAATAATTGCACCATATCCCAGACTGGTACAGAGGCATTTAAAGCCTGAGTGCTGGATTTCATATCATTTCACCTACTTGAGTAGATAGTCCGAAAAGGAACCAGACAAACCAAGAGTCCAGACGCTTATCAAACGGATGAGAGGAAATGGGATTACTTCTTGACAGATTCAAATTGTAGTACTGCCTTTTTATCACCATTTTAAAAAAATGGACATTTTTTGGCTGGTGAATTAAGGTGGAGTACCTGCTCCATACAAAGTTTTTGAATGAGGTTTTAAAAATAGCAGAGTCAGAATAGCTTCCTTTCTTTCATCTTCAACTCCACTCTCCTTCTACTCTGGTATCCTCCTGATCGGCTATTTTGTATCAGGGGTACAATGAGAACACACTAGCATTGTATTTGTGGGGAAAGGCTTCCCTAGGCCTGGAAGACCAATGCTGACCAAAAGGCAGAAAGTAGTGTGTTTACTACTCCACCAGCCAGCTGTTAATGATAGTTCTCAAGCCGCATCTAAGCAAGTAGACTTTCCACAGCCTAATTTTTATTTCTGACAAATAAAGTTTTTTATAATCTGCCATTTAAAATCTAGCTAACCTGATTTTTAGAATTGGTAGTTTAGACTGCTCCTGATAAAGTAAGTAGGAAAAACATCCAAAAGGAAGCATGACGTACGTTAACTTTAAGTTGAAATTTCACACTGGCCTCAAGATTGAGCTGCACAGAAATATTTATTCTCATTGATTTCCCATTTATCTGTCTCTGCTTAATTCAATGAATTGTGTGTATCACTTACCTTCACAACAGTTACCAACCCATCATTACTATTTGGATCAGTCAGAATAGTAAATCGACCTGTAGGATCTCCACCAGTCATTCGGTACATTGCATTCCAGGCGGGAGTGTGTGGCTGATCCTTATCAGTTATGGTTAGATTAGTTACTATGACATCCACTCTATTTTCAGGTACCTCGCCATAAAACTACAACAAAGAAAAACAAATGTAAAAATGTATCTATAGATTTTAGAAATATGTATCTGTCTGAGAGTCTGTTCAAGATCTCCTCCTAAGTGGTAAGCACTAGGATCACCAAATCTGGTATGCAGCTTCTTCTTCGCCTATTTAAACCAAGACTAGGATTTGGTTGTGCCAGGAAAACAGGAAATGCCAGGAATGAGACTGTTTTCCAGAACATAGAAAGGGAGAGGGCAGAGGAAGGGCGCAATATTCACAGATACCACTGGGGGCAGAGAGCACAGGGGAGAGCTATACTACAGAGTGACCATAGCAGGCAGCTGTTCCACCAAAGAGTGGCCAGCAAGGCTGGGGCACTGCTATCTTGTTTGTCACCAGATTGGGAAAGTGGGCCCCCCCCCCGCCTATGCGATAGCTCCTAGTGGTCCCCTGCCCTGGGAGGGGGCAGAAGGAAAGCCCTCAGCAGTCCCTCCAACCCTCCCGTGGAGGAGAGGGAAAAAAAAGACCCCATTGCCCCTCTCCTGGACCAGGAGTGGCCAGGCAGAGTGAGAAAGACCCAGGTAGCCCACCTGACCCAGGAGGTGGGAGGAAGAAAGCTCCTGTTGCCCCTTGACCCCACAGGGGGCAGGGAGAAAACCCCCTGTCCTGAAGTGCCCAGGAAATGCTGGGTTAAGTCTTCTAGTCTACTGTGTATTTGAGAAAGACTGTCTGGCTGTGAGCAAGCCTCTCTATCCATCCATTTGTTCAAGAACTCCTCCTAAATGGTAAGCGCTTAGACTTTCAAATTTGGTAGGCAGCTTCCTCTTAGCATCACTTAAAACAAGGTTAGGGTTTGGTTGTGCAGGGAGGTGGTGGTGGTGGTGGTTCCCCCCAATTTGTATGGGAATGAATAAAAAATTCAAAAAAAATTCTTCTGAAAGAAGCCTGTAGTCTAGACATAGCCAAGTGTGGCTCACTGTTCCATATAGTGGCTCTTATACCACTTAGAGTGAGAGATAATCTACAGCTTTACAGCTCAAGTTGTAGAGGTTCCTACACAGCTCCAGAAGTGCCAGGTTCAAATCTGCCCAGTTGTGGTTACACTGTGATAATTTATATCACCTCAGGATTTTGCTCCATATGTTGAAAATCTGTGAGGATTCCTGACATCTTGCTTTAGTCAATCTAGTCAAAATTCCCTGTGATCCATATATTTGAAAAAAAAATAATCTGACAAATACTTTAATAAAGGAGAACACCAGCTGGCAGTCTATCATTATTAAACAATAATGTGACAGAGCAAACTAAAGACCTATATAAAACCACTTAAGAACTGGGGGAAGGGAGGTTGAGTCTTTAGCTAAACTATTAAGTTTTGGATTAACTATGGTATGTTCTGAGGCACAGATTCCCCTCTAATTTAAATCTTTGTGAAACAGCAATTTAATTCATGAAAAATTCCTTGGAAATGGCTACAAACATTCATACCCTTCATTTACTTCTGAGCTGTACTTACAGTCATAGCAGTGAACTCTGGAGGATTGTCATTGACATCTGTCACTGTGATGACAGCAGTTGCTGTGTTTGAAAGACCATATGTTGGGTTTCCTTCCATGTCCGTAGCTTGAATTATTAATGTATACTGCTGTACTTTCTAAAACACAAAATGACATCAACATAAGTTATATACAAAAACAACATTCCAGCAGGACAGCAGGTGTTCCATAAATTGTGCTTTATTACGCAAAGAGCCTATCATACTGTTTATTCTAGTTAACATCACTTGAAATGACTGAAGCAAAGTTTACACCACCAGAAGCACAGCAGTACTTTGCATCTAAAGATATTAAAGTGCCTGCATTTTTCATACATCACTTGTGACTGGAGAGGGTTGCATGATATACTTTTTCTATGAATAATGAAAGAACTTTATACAAGTTACTGTTTATTACCATAGAGCTAGAATGTGACTAAGCTTTGTTTGAAATGGAAAAAAGGATAGTAGTTCAACCTAAATAAGGAGTAAGTCCCAAAGAGTGTTACAAGATCTGAGCCAGGGAGTATTTCTGGCCAAATGCTTACAACTGCCAAAGCTTTACTGCGGCAAAGCCCAACTATTAGAATGTAGCTGCAACTTCTTGATATCACTATGGAAACTGGAGCTGTCATGGCTAACAGAAACTAGTAAAGTAAATAAAATGCTTCCCCTTCCATCCTTGATTATCTCCATAAATGTAAAATATTGCAAAAAAGACAGTCCGTTACTTTTCCCAACATGCCAGTGCCAGTTACTTTATATGTTGTTAAAAACAGCACACAGTCCAGAGGATCTGTATCTGTATTCTTTAATCATTGCTGGAATTATTTCAGGTCTGACTGTGGCTTAGTGCTAGCTCTATGAAGAAGAATTGCCTTACAGATTAGATCTCAAAACTAGCTGGATTGGTACCAGCACATTTATTAAAAAAATTATTAAACAATTAAAAACATTTTCTGAACATGGTTAACTTCTTTAGTGCTCCCTAGGTTGGTGCGGTGATACCTATTGCCTGAAATTCACTTCTTCCTCCAGCAGAAAATTGGCAATAACATGAGCATTTATTACTCTGAAATATTATTTTCATTAAATGGATTATTGACAACTGCCAAAGAAAAAACATTTATATATAAAAAAATAAGGATACCCTAAAAAACCTGAAAATTTCCTACTAATTCTCATCCACTCCTAAATATACAGGGAGTCCCCGGGTTACGTACAAGATAGGGACTATAGGTTTGTTCTTAAGTTGAATTTGTATGTAAGTCGGAACTGGCTCCAGATTCAGCCGCTGCTGCTGAAACTGAACAGCGGCTGACTACAGGAAGCCCTAGGCAGAGTTGCTCTGTCCCTGGCTTCCTGGAATCAGCCGCTGATCAGTTTCAACAGCGGCTGAATCTGGACTCCTGGGACAGAACAGCTGGGGCACTGCCGGGTAGGTCCCCGCAGGACCAACCCGGCAGCACCCCAGCTGCTCTACCCCAGGCGTCCCGCAACAAAAGCCTAGTCTGCTGGGGGGGGGGCGCACTAGCTGTACCCCCTCACCCCCCAGCAGACCAGGGAGACCCGAGCAAAGCCGCGGAGGCGCAGAGGTCCCGCCGCCTCTGCGGCTCTGTTCCTGTCTCCCTGCTGTGCTGGGGGCGAGTTCCCCCCAGCAGACCAAGGAGACCCGAGCAAAGCCACACAGGCGGCGGGACCCCGCTGCCTGTGCGGCTTTGCTCCTTTGCCCCAGAGCAAAGCCGCACAGGCGGCGGGGTCCCCCGCCTCTGCGGCTTTGCTCCTGTCTCCCTGCTGGACTCCCCCCCAGCACAGCAGGGAGACAGGAGCAAAGCCGCAGAGGCGGGGGACCCCGCCGCCTGTGCGGCTTTGCTCTGGGGCAAAGGAGCAAAGCCACACGGGCAGCGGGGTCCTGCCGCCTGTGCGGCTTTGCTCGGGTCTCCCTGCTGTGCAGCTTTTCTCGCCCCGGAGGACGCAGTGGCGGGACCGCTGCGCTCTGGGCCGTCCCGCCGCCCGCGAGCTCCGGGGCGAGAAAAGCCTCGTTCGTAAGTGCGGATCTGACATAAGTCGGATCCGCGTAAGTCGGGGACTGCCTGTGCTCGAGCTTGTAAATTGGAGGTATGCAACTGACTACTTCATAAGATAAGAAATCACAAGACAGAAATCTTGAGTCAATCTCCCTCATAATTATTTTTAAGAAATCTAGCAAGGCTCCATATTTCTCATTTGCTTTCAAATTTTGGAGTGATATTAGGGATGTGAAAGAGTAGTGGATTAGTTGACTACTAGCATTTCCCCCCCTCTCTTGGGGGAGAAGCAGAAGCTAGTGCTGGGGAGAGCCAGTTTAATAGCCGGTTCCCCCCAACACTGCATCCGTAGTGTCGCTTCCAACCTGTGCTGCTGCCTGTATTAGACGCAGCAACGCGGTGGGAAGGGGCAGGGGAAGCTGCTCTGGTAGCAGTCCCCGTCCACAGGGGGTCCCAGAGAGGAGTTGGGAACCCCCATGGCCAGGGGCTACTTTGCCGCAGCAGCCTTTGTTCGGGGGCAGGCGGGAGAGAGGAAGGAGGCGGGAGGAAATCCTACATCCTCAGTTGGACCCCCTGCGGACAGGGACTGCTGGACCCAGCGCAAGCTGGGACTCAGCAAGTCCTACTCAGTCCTGCACTCTGAAGGAACTACAGTTTAAATGTAGTTTAAATGTAGGAGAAGCCGAACTGCCTGCGGGACTGGCTCTTACCACATTTTTAACTGTAGAGCCACATAGAGGGTAGGTCCTTCTGAGTGCATTCCCTTATTGACTAATTGTGACGTTGATAAAAATTGTATCGACTACACGATTACCCAATTAGCTGCCTCTTAACACCCTTAATTGATATTAGTATGTACATACTGGCCTAAGCTTTATAAGCATGCACACACTCGAATCTGACTTTCGCTTACAAAAGACGTAGGGTCCAATTTAAAAAAATCCTTATTAAGGGAAGCACTTAAATCAGGTGCGGGCAAAATATGGCCATGGACTGGATTTGGCCCGCCAAACATTTGGGTCAGCCCTGCCATGACCCTCCTGATTGCTAATGTCCTGCAGCCCAGTGGGGGTGCTCAGGCAGGTTGCTTGCCTGCCCGGACCCACATGCTGCTCTAAGTGTCCAGCTGCTGGGGCAAGCAATCTCTGTATCTGTGCCACTTGGGTGGGTGGGAGACAATGGGTTTCTGTATTTCACCTCTGGCCCCAGCACTGACTTCACAGTTCTCATTGCCTAGAAACTGGCCAGTAGAACCTGCAGGGGCTCCTTCACCCCAACTTTCACCTGGGAGGTGAGTGCAGGTTCCTTTGTTTTCCTTCATACACAAAAGGCCCAACATTGCATACTATGGGTCAGTTTGATATTCCGCTGGTAAAGCGAACATGCCCCTTACTACTCTGCAAATAGAGCTAAAGGATCTGATCCAAAGAAGTATGTCCCATGTTCTTTAAGTTGAGGAACATGATGTGGTACCCAAGCTGGGGAAGACATGAAATGTTGAAACACGATTCACGTGCAGCCAATCGCTTTCAGCACATTCACTGGCAACTTCTGTAACAGTGCAGTATGCACTTCCCCACTCCGGGTTAGAGCATCTGGCTAGTGAATGAGAACTCACCCTCCAGAGACAGATCCCTCTGACAGCACTATTAGAACTGCAAACTATTTGGCTGCTTCAACACCATCTCCTTCAGTGAAGCAGCCAACTGATGGCTGCCGCTGTCTGAGAAGAGACACTCTGTATCTTTTCCACTCCAGTTATTTTAGAGCAGCTACAATTTACTCTTAACTTGCCAAATGTGCCTACCATTGGCTTCCAACATCTGGAAACATACTAATGTTTTTAGTTTGTTATGGATTAAAAATGCTTTATTTTGGTCTAGTATTTTAAATGAGTATTTATCAGGCACTATAATACAACAATGTTCAACAAAGATGTCAAAGCACTTATTTCTTCCAACATCTTTTACAGTTATTCACTTGTACATTAGTAAAGAGATCAGTGAGTAGAATTAATGGCAAACTACTTGGGTAAAAAGCATCTATGATGGTTAGTTTAAGGATCTACAGGGAAGTCCGGATATGGCAGCTGATTTCTTCTGTAGCATATCAGGTACTGCAAGTTGCTATGCAGGAGACGACTATGCAGTGTGCTGTGCATGCAGTGCAGCTCAGGAATTGAAGGGGAGGTGAGATCCTTTCTCTTCATGTGGAGCTCCTGATTGCCACAAGACAGGAGAGTAGCTCTATTTCTCATTCCCCTCTTTTCCTAAGGAGCTGTGCAGGAGTAGGGTGGAGCCTCTCTCCTGAAGAATCACTGCCCCTCCTGAGACACAGCTAGCTTCAGCTGACCGAGTCAGCACTGTCCTGCAACGGTATTGCCCGCGTGTGATTTTTAACTCAATGAATGCAAGCCGGCAAGCATGTCTGTTAAGGGTGAGTAACTGTGTTGCAGTTGTGTAAGTGAAATAATGCTAAAATACAGATCACAGGACAGTTCACAAAAAGAGATGCATAAGGAACTGTGTTAAATTAGGGATGTAACAATTAACTAGTTAACTGGTTACTCTTGGTAACTATTTAACCAGTGGGCTGGGGAAGGCTGCTCCAAAGCAGCCTGGCATTTAACTGGTTAACATTTTAAATTATAATTAACATTATTATGTTAAATAAATATATTAAATAATGTTAAAAAATAAATTATATTTTATAAGAAGCAATAAAAGGGAATTTTACTGCTTTCTGTATATGTCTTATTGACAGCTTTCAAAGGCTGTAAAAAAATTTGAAAGTCATTTTATGTCTTATTGACAGTGGATTCTTGGTCTGGGTAGATGACAGGGCAGACAGTGAGTAATTTATCAGCTAGGCTGTAATCTAGCAAAACAGATTAGGGTAGGTGGCTAATGACTGGAAGGAACTAGCCAGCCACTAAGAGCCTACAAGGAGCAATCAAGAATACATAAAAGCAATGGTTTAAAGTTCTCTCTTTTATAAACATTTCATTCTAAAAATATTTTCTAAAATATTTTTACTTTATTCTGCTACAATACTAATTAACATTTTTCTCGTTTATTTTTAATTCTTTA